TTTCATAGTATACCTTTAATAAGTTAATTCAAATTAAGCATAACAATTAAATACGCTCAATTTCCTTTAAAAACCAGAGTTTCCTCTTGTGTCAAGATCATAGTTTGATAACACAAGGAGGTAATTATTTTTGCAATATGCTGAACTTAAAAAAAAAAAGTATATCAATATATTTGCCATTCCATCTGCATTATATACTGTACAAATAAACAAAAAAAAATTTTTCTTACACATTATAAAATTAAAATTACTTCCAATTTCCAGTGTTCACAGATCTAAATATTTCATTACCCTATGCGGTACGTTGCTCTGATATAGTGTCGGACATTTTTTTTTTTACTGCCTTTTAATGAAGTGGACGCTGACTGTGATCTAGTTCTGTTTTTGTGTGTTTAATCCAGCAATTAGTGGTTGGAGGGACTCAGCTGCACTTTTAAACAGGTGCTTCTGGTTCTTTCCTCTCAGGAATGTTAAAATCTGCCTAAATTTGGCTAAAACCTAGGGCTGGGCGATATAGAAAAAGAGCTTATCGATAAAAAAAAAAATGCATATTGATCGATATCGATAATTATTGAAAAGATTTGAAACCATATTTTATGTGCAGCTCTGCCTGGACATTTTATAATATTGCTAAATGATTTAATTTTAATAAAGAACACAAACACAGACTTCGAATAAAATTTTTATTTAACCAACCATAAAGAAAAAGAACTTAAGAGACCTGAGTTATGTAATTAAATACTGACAAAGAATAAACTAAAGTGACCAGAAAAGTGACCAAAATAAATATAACAAATAAATAAATGGACAATTGGAGACCCCCCCCCAATGGTTTTTTTGGGGGGGTCTCCAATACTGTAGCTCACTCTTTGTTAGGGACATGAAGGACCCACAGTTGAAATGGGCCTCATTTTAAAACAAACCTATTGTTTGTATTTCCAAACCAACAACTTGAACGTTTATGCAAACATGTCTGCAGTTGAAGAGTGTTTGCAGACCTTCCAGAGACTCCTGGCTATTTCTCTTTCCCCAGTTCACCTCCCCATGACGTCCTGACCTCCTTCCATCTGGTATCATTAAACCACGCAGCTCTTAACCCTGTGTTCAGCTGGTTTTTCACACCTTACTTTGTGTTTGTATGTTATTAAGTAAAGCAGCTGACTAAACATTAACCAAGACTTACAGAACCATATTGTCTGTCTGTCTGTCTGTCTGTCTGTCTGTCTGTCTGTCTGTCTGTCTGTCTGTCTGTCTTATCTAATCTGGTCTAATCTTATCGATCTATCTGGCGTTATATTGCAAGATCTTAACATTCTTATTGTTCTCATACCTGTTGTTATTGACCATATATATATATATATATATACATACATACATATGTATGTATGTGTATATATATATATATATGCGTGGTCGGCAGAAAATCAAACACCTGTATGTATGCTAGTATGCATGTATACGTATGTATGTTTTTATATATATATATATATATATAGATATATATAGATATATATAGATATATATAGATATATATATAGATATATATATATAGATATAGATATAGATAGATAGATAGTGTTTGATTTTCTCCCACGCGTTTGCTGATCGGAAGGTGGTTGTGAAAGGCTGATCGTCCCTCGTTACCCCATGACTGAAAAGTTGCCCAAAAAAAACGCACAGTGTTTGTCCGACTTTAAAGTACTTTCAGAACTTTTTATTCTGAATACAACCCCCCACCCCCCCAGCAGACTAACACCTGAATGAAATCCAGCAGGTTGTAACTCGCCAGCTGGAGGCTTTGACGAGTTAA